GCCACGCCTTGGGCTCCCGTGCCGCCGCTGTCCCAGCCGGCGGCGCAGAGGGCGTGGGAGCTGCCTTGGAGCGGACCGGCTGTGCTCGGCGCTGGGCGGGGCCGCGGGCCGGGCAGATGAGCTCGCAGGCCGCTCGGCGCTTTATCAGCCCCGAGATTTACCACAGAGAGCGAATCTTCTCTCAGGGAACTGTGTCCCCCGGTGTCTGTTCATCAGCGATGTCTCCTGCCACCCCAGGCCACTGGGGCGATCGGTGGCCGGCGGCCTGAAATCGCCCTTTAAGTCGCTCTCTTCCGACTGAACGTCGCCGGAGTCCGCAGGCCGAAGCCCGGTGTTTCTCCAGGGGGCGCAGAGCCGTCCCCCAGGGCTCCGGCGGACTCGCCGCCCACCGCGCGTGGCCACGGAACAGTCTTGGTGCGAATCAGGGTAGTCCATCCTCTCGATCGGGTTGAGAAGGTTCACACGCCTTTTGAAATTAAATACATAAACTCAGGCAAAGTCTAGTTCAAAGTTGGGTTAGTCAGGATTCTCCAGAAAAGCAGCACCTAAAGGCTGTGTGAGGAAGTTTATTACGGGAATCAGGTCACACAGTTACAGAGGCCACGAAGTCCCACGGTGCCACCCGCCGGCTGGAGGGCCAGGCCCCCTGGGCCGTGGTGTGGAGCGAGGTCCACGGCCTGAGAGCCGGGGGCCAGCGGCGGCGGTCACCAGAGTCCAAGAACCGGGCGCGCAGAAGGCCCCAGGCAGGCGGGGGCGGGTGTCCCAGGTCAGCGGGAGAACGGAGCCCCCGCCCTCAGCCTTTGCTCTCTCAGGCCCTCAGAGACCGGCTGAGGACCCCCACCCCGCCGGGTACAGGGGAGAGCCACCTTCGCCCGGTCCCCCAGCTGCCCAGCTCCAACGCCAGCCTCTTTCCCCCGACGCCCTCCCGGGCACACTCGGGAACAGAGGACCACCAGCTGTCCAAGCGTCCCTGAGCCCAGTCGCATATGGGCTGACCCATGAAGGTGACCCACACCGCAGTAAAATGCCATCGGGCTTTTATTGCAATAGCCCGATTCAAACCACACGTGTCCTCTTTGTCCCTTCCCAGCAGAGCTTTGGCGTGTCTGGTGGGCGCCCGCAGCCCCCCGACGCCCGACCCCCGGCCAGCCCTCCTCGTCCCCCGAGGCCTCAGCCAGGGAGAGCGCCCCGCTCGCAGGCCGGCCCCTCCGCGGGCTGCGGGCAGACCCTCCCGTTCCTGAGCTGCGGGTGCGAATCGCCGTCCCTCCGTGGCCACCTCTCGCGCGTCGAAGCTTGGACTGTCCCGCGGATGTCCGTTCAGGAACCCCGTCGTGTGTCGCCTGCAGGACAGGAACGGGGAGCCCCCGTCCCACCTTCCTTTCCCGTTTGTCACAATTAACCAGCAGCGTGTGTAAAACCCCCAGCTGTTTGGCTTGAAAAGACCGAAGCCAACAGGGCCGTGGCCTTCCCCTGGCCCCAGGACGCGGGGCTTGCCCCGTGCGCCCAGCCCCACCCTGTCTCCTGCGGCGTAGGGACCCCTGGTTCGGGGCGCCCGACGGACCCGCCCTCAGCCTGGGCCCCGCCGGGGAGCCAGAGCCGCACCGCCCGCACAGCGCCTGCGAGGGCAGCGGGCCCTGTCAACCGGGCGCAGAGCTTCACAGTCCGCGACCCTCCCTGGTGAGGCGCGGGCCTGGTCCGTCACACGCAGGCTCTCGGCTCCCAAACTTGTTTCCTGGAACTGGCTGTGCACAAAACAAAGAACACATCTGTCAGGATGGTTGAGATATTTTTCAAAAATTACACGTAATTTTAAGTGAGTTGTGTTATCCCTGACCTAACAATAGGAAAGATGATTTAAAATCTAACTGAACCTCGGGACACGTCCCCGTTTGCGTGTTGAAAGGTACTCAGTGACCCACCATTTCCCCCGCTGCGGGGGCTCCCGTGCAGAAAAACCTCAGGTCACTGTGTGGGGACGACCCTCCCCCACCGGGTGATAGGATGTTGCGGGGTTGGCAGCTTTTGTCCTGTTACTAAAGCCCCAACAAGGGAGGATCAGCACTTTTGAGGCCCAGCGCCCCCAGGCCGGTTTTGATCTGCAGGACTGGCCAGGCCAGCTCTCCGGTGGCTGTCACCAGAGATCCCATTTATCTCCCAGTTCCGGGTGTGCCCCTGCCCTCCGCGGACCTGAGGTCTCCGAGTGACAGCGTGGAATGCCTGCTTCCCTGGGCAGCGGGTCACTCGCTCTGTTGTGACTTGACGACCTCTTTCGTGGAGGAAAAGCGCGTCCTCTGTCACGCTCTTTTTCTCGCTCCTGCCGCTTTATCACTTTCGAGGTGCGTCCGATGCCGTCAGTGATTCTAGAAGGGCCGCGGCGGGCCGGGGGCCGCCTGTGCCAGCCGGGGGCGGGTCGACGCTCTCAGTGCTTTCTGTCCGACTCGATCGCTGTTCATGTGTTCGGACGAGCTCGAAGTGCACCATCAAGCTATTGGAGCTCCAGGTCAGTCATAGCCTGAAAGGGGGAAGCTAAAATGAAATGGAAAGTTCCAGATCTCATCAGGAAACAAACACAAAAACAAAACTACCCTGGCATTGCATTCAGGCCCTATATTCACGGGAAAAAATAATGAATGTAGAAATATTAGTCACAAAACCCTTTTTCTAAGTTGATTTAAGATCTAACTGAAAAGGAAGCGAGTATCCATATATTAGTGTTGAGCTGCATTTCAAAAGTTCTTCAAGTTAGTCCCAATTAGCACCGCAAGATGAAATGCTAGCTTTGTAACTAATTTGTCACTTATAAAGATCCTAGGTAACATGTTAAAAACAGAACGTCGTTGTATACTTAGCCTTTATCTGCAGAAGGAGGTAGCCAGACGTGTATGACACGCCCGAGCACGAAGAAAGACCAGGCCAGTTTCCCCTTCTCAGAAATCCCCGCTGATTCCCCATGAGGGAGCTTATCAGTCTTCCAGCAGCGAGTTCTGCGGCGGAGCCTTCACGGGACCGCGGGAGGCACCCACCCCTCCTGCTGCTTCCCTGCCGCCGCTGCCTGAGCGTGTCCAGTCACCTGGGACCCGACGAGTCCAGCTGTGCGGGCGGAAAACCCGATTTCTGACCTCTTACTTGATCGGTCCCTACAACGGGGCACCAGTTACGTAGGGAAGGTTGTGCCCTCACAGATGCCGTCGGCGTCTGCCTCGCCGCGCCCCGCCCCTCCCCCTCCACTCCCCTCGCCGTCTCTCCGTCCCTCTGTCCCTCCGTCCCACTCTCAGGCCCGGTGCGCCTCGGCCTGGCTTCTCCGAGGCACGCTTCTCCTCCACGTCCCAGCCGAGGCGCCTGCCAGCATCGCCAGATCCCCCTGTCCGAAGTCAGCCGTTCCGAGGATGAAGAGCGTCCTCAGGCAGCGCCTGTGTCAGTGGCACGCCCGTCCCCGGCCCCGTCGCCGTGGCAGGAGAGGAGGAGGAGCAGTTCCGGGAGGTGCAGTCTGCGCACGCTGTGCCCCGGGCTTCATGGACCCGGAGGGACTGCGTCAGGGTCAGCCTGCCGCCCGGGGGCCCGGCCCCGCTGCCCGCCTGCGACACACGCCCACTCTCCCTCAGCAGAGCCACTTACCACTGGCTTCCTCAGTCACTGCTGCCCGTGGCGAGTCATCCCAAGTGCTGGCCCAGGAGCTGGACTCCTGAGACCAGTGTGGCCCCCGCCTCGGGGAAGTGGATAGCCATGTGCTGAGAGAGCGGACGCGCACACAAAACCCCTAGGCTGTGGCTGCAGGGAAACCCTCGCCGGCAGCGGGAGTCTGGGGAGGCCTGGAAGGGAGGCCCATCTCAGCCAGGGTCCCGGAGACGGGGTCGGGGGGCAGCTGCGTCCCGACGTCAAGGCAGCAGACAGCGCGCAGGGAGGCCAGGGACAGGGATTCGCACTCTCCAGAGACGTGCAGGAGGGCAGGGCACCTGCAGCGCCCTCAGCGAGACATCAGAAGGACAGAGGGTCAGCAGGAGAGGCGGAGGCGACCCCTCAGGTCTCGTGGGCTCCAGGAAGGCCTTCCTTCTGCAGGCGGGGGCGAGCCCGTGGCTGCGCTGGGCTGCAGAGCGAGGGACGCGGCGTCTGATCGGTGTTTCCCAAGAGCAGCCGGCGGTGGACAGAGGGGGCCTCGGAGGGGCCAGGGCAGGACAGGCAGGCTGCGTGGCAGGCCGTCGTGATGGGCGCAGGGAAGCGGGAGGGGGGGGGAGGAGAGGGGGGCGAGCCGCAGGGTGTTGGGGGTGTGAAGGGCACAGGGGAGGCTGGGCAGGCGGCGCCCGGGGAACTGCCCGGGCGCCAGGCTTGAGTCTCCGGCAGCGTCCAGGCCGCGCTGCCTTGTCTTCTCCGTCCTCCTCTCCCGCGGGGAACGGGCTCCTCGAGAGCCCTTCGTGGTCCAGCTTCCGAGCCTGGCGGAGACGGTGCCACCTCCGGCCTGCCAGGCGCTGGCCACGTGTCCCCGGTCATGGGCGCCAAGATACGCTGCCCACTCTGCTGCTCTGCCCAGGGCGCACCGTGTTGTGGACTATTTTAACTTTTTAAGCTTCAGTCCTTTCCTTGCCTTCAAAAGGCATGCGTTCTCTGACGTACATACTTCAGACGTAAACATGCTTAACAATACCTCGCTTCATTTCAGCCTCTCACATGGAAGAAAACACTTTGGACAAAAGCGCATCGAGTCGCCCATCAACGGGTTTTCTCTCCTTCCCCATTAGCAGTTTCCGGACAAACGGAGCGGCGCTGATGATCAGCCTCCCTTCGTGGAACGTGGTTAGGGCCGCCGGGAAGGAGGGACGTGCAGGGCGTGGTGCCAGAAGGACATAAAGCACTAAATAAGTCCCACAGCCTAGCTGCGTGCATGCGTGCGTGTGCGCGTAGGAAAATGCCCTCAATACAGATGAGACGGCCCAGCGAGGCAGCCGTGATCCACAGTTCGGAAGATGACAAACTTACCCGTTTGGGTTTATTTGCTTTGATTTCAGAATTACGTTTTCTGACGACGGAAGCCTCAGAATCGTGAACGTGACGAAAGCCGACGCCGGGAGCTACACCTGTGTGGCCACCAACCACTTCGGCACAGCGAGCAGCACCGGGAACCTGGCGGTGAAAGGTACGGGCGCGCCCGGCGAGCGCGCGGGGGACCCGCGTGGCTTTGCCTCCAGGGACAGGGCCGGGGGAGGCGGCGTCCCCCGCGTCAGCACAGGCAGGTACCGTGGTAACTAAATTAATTCCTCAAGGCCGCCAGGATGGGCAGGATGGGAGCAGTGATCCTCGGCAGGCGCGGGCGGCGCGGGCGGTGGGAAGGCTACCTTGTTCCTGAGTCGCCGGTGCAGTTCTGAGAGTCCCCGCAGTCGGGCCTGTTACGGGTTTGGAACGAGCGTTATCGCCGGTCCCTTTGCTAAATTTCTTTCACGTCTCCTCAGATTGGAAATTCGTGTCTCGAAACGCTGTGCTAACAAGTCTAAAACCCGCGACTCAAATACTATTTTTAGCTGACGTTGTTTAAACGACACTGACAACTTATAAAGGCGCCGTCCAGGGTCTCCGGAGAGATGGAGGCGGGTCATCCTGGTGCTAATAAGGGGCTCCAGTCTCCTCCCGCCGACCCCGTCGGTGTCAAGGAAATAAAATGTGGGCACACCCCTCAGCCTGGGGGCGTCATCGCTGAGGAGAGAACCCCCCGATCCCCCGCTCTCAGTGCACAGCGGGCAGCTATGCCGCGCCCCTCCCCCCTTTCCCCTCCCCCTGCCCCACGGACGGGCTGGGCGGGGACCCGAGAGGGGTGGGGTTTAAGGTGCGTGTTATTTGCATTTCTGTCACTGTATGTCGCCCTCCTCCCACAACGTGTGAGCAGAAGGGGTCTTGGCGACAATCTGACCGAGGGACCTGAAGCTCAGGGGGGACCTTCTGAGGGACTCTCAGTGCGTCTTAGGAAAACGCTGGTTTTCCGTTCATGGCAAGGATTTTTTTAAATCTCCTTTAAAAACAGCCCTGGCTGGTGGGGCTCAGTGGACTGAGCGCCGGCCTGTGAACCCAAGAGTGGCCAGTTCGATTCCCAGTCCAGGCACAGGCCTGGGTTGCGGGCCAGGTCCCCAGTAGGGGGCACGCGAGAGGCAACCGCACACTAATGTTTCCCTCTCTTTCTCCCTCATTTCCCCTGTCTAAAAATAAATAAATAAATAAATAAATAAAATATTTAAAATCTCCTTCAAAAACATATTTCTGGAAAGAATGAGTCGGTGTCCAGAAAAGTGCTAAGTACGCCCTGTTATGAGAGCGCATGCGAAGCCGTGACATCGGTGCATGAAGGTTGGGAAACGGACTTAACCACGACTTTCAAGGGCGTTTGGTGCCTTCGGGAGAGACCTTAGAGGGCCACGTGGCTGCCCCACCTGTGCGGGGGGCGCATGATTGGCCGAGGCCCACGACCGCTTTGAAACTGAAGTCCCCGCGAAGGCAGCAAAGGGAAGGGCCGGGCAGGGAGAGCCAGGCCAGCGGACGGCAGAGGCGAGCAGGGACCAGCCGGGACGCGCAGGACGTGCCCCCGGCAGGTGGCGCTCTGCCTGCCGGCCTCCCCACAGGGTCCCCTGGGTCTCACCTCCGTCTTCCGGAGGAAGCGGGGGAAGGAAAGAGCGACGGGCCGCCTGTGGTCAGACTGCGGGGCGCCGCAGTCCCGCTACCGCGGGCGCGGTCACAGGCCTGGTGGGGGCGCGGGGTCTTGACACCGTCAGTGCGCGGGGGAAGCGTGCGCGCGCACGTGGGCGCGGAGGGGCCTCTGGGTCCCTGGGGAGGATGTGAAGAAACTGGCCCCGGAGCCCAGGGGCACGCACACCGGTTCTGGCTCGCGTGAACTGTGCCGAGGGCCGCCTCGCGGAGTCCCGCGCCGGAGTGCGGGAGCCCCGCCTCCCCTGCGACGGAGCTGCTGTACCCCAAGAGGCCCCAGCTCAGCCCAGAAACCTGCAGGGGCACCCGGGTGTCAGAGAAGGCGTCGCTCTAGCCGCAGAAGGAGCCTGTGTTCGTTTTGATCTCCTGGGATGTGGGGGTGGAGACACCATCAGAACACGTCACAGTTGAGGCTCGTAAAAACCCAGTTCTCGCCCTCCCCGCCCCCAGGATGGGGACGGAGGCTGAAGATAGTGTCCGCCGCGGAGGGTCCGGCAGGCAGGGAGGCGCAGGACGGGACGAGTCCCCCGCGCCAGGCACAGGAGGGCGGCGGCCGGTCTCGGGCAGGCAGCCCCCAAGTGGGTGCGCGTTCAGGCTCCGCGCGAGCGAGCGGCTGCCGCACCGCAGACCTCGGGCAGCAGAGAGACGCCCGGGGCTCTTGATTATCATCCAGCCGTCGGTCTCTCTGCCTTTTACTGATTGCACTTTTCAAGCTGGTTATAGTGTATTTGAGGTGTGGGTTTGCGGTTTTAGTCGGAAGCAGGAACAGTTCTCAAGTCAGACCCCCCGGCGGACACGTTCAGAGCTCGGCGGAGGGCCAGCCGCGTGCCCGCGCGGTGCTGTCCCCGATAGTGCGTTCCCGCGTCAGGTCCGAGGTGGCGCTTTGCCCGGACGCAGCCTGGGCTCTGCAGGTTTCACGTGACAGGTATTTTTAAGTAGCTGTCCTAGAGAAAAGGCACTGAGAGCCTTTGTCTTGGGTGTGGCTTGGCCTGGTAACTAGCAATGGGGACCCACCTGCCATCGATGGCCTCCTGGCCTCCGAAAGAAATGAAAGGTGTTAAGTTATGGCTGCTGTTGCCATAGTTACCATGCTGCACTACATCCACAATGACCTTGACTAGCTCTGTTGCTGGTGGCACCAGAGGACACACTGAGGAGCCCTGGCCCCCCTCCCAGAGCTCTGCACTGAGCAAACTAAGGCTCAATGGGGCGCTTCGCAGAAACCCAGGTCCCCTAGGTCTCACCGCTGCCCCCATAAATCTGCAACCTGAACGAGGAGGCCTGAAAAAGGCACCTTTTTAATAAACACCCTTGTTGACCCTCGTACCCAGCAAAGTTTGAAAATATTCCGTTTTCAGGGGTTGACAAACTATACCCCCAGGCGGAATCCGGGGGGCCACCTGGTTTTGTGTAGCTCAGGAACTAAGAGGGCCGTCCATGCGCTTAACTGGTTGAAAATAAAATTTCAAAAATGGGACATTTGCGGACATGAAAGTGTCATGAAATCCCAGCGCCCGTACACGCGGCCTTGGTGGGGGGCGCGGCCGCACCCCTTGTTTGCGCTGCGACAGGAGCTGAGCCAGCAGGGCAGAGACCGTGTGACTGATGTGTCCCTACATGGCATCCTCAGTTTTGCCTCTTGACCAGCAAAGCCTAAAGTGTGCACTTCTCACCCCGTTACAGGGGGAAAAAAGATTAGCTGATCCCTTCTCACGAGCGGTTCCCTTCCCCAGAGAGGTCCTGAGAGCGCGGTCCAAGGTGCAGGCCGCCGGGCCCCGCACGCCGGCCGGGGCCCCGCAGGCCGGAGCCGCTCGCCCTTCCGAGTCTGACTGCAAGCCAGGGTTCGTGGGGAGGCTTCCGCCCCAGGACCTTGGCCTCGCCCCCGTGTCCAGGGTTGACCTCCGTCCTCCGCTGTTAAGTGGGAAGCTGGAGGAGTGGGAAGCTGGAGGCGCGGTGGTCGGTCGCTGGGCGAGAGAGGGGAGAAACACGGCGCAGCAGGCGGAGGAGGAGCGCGTTCAGTTGGACTCTCCAGGGCCTGCACGGGCCTCACGCCGCCACCGGACAGGGCTGCTGGGCCAGCGACAGCCTCAGAGCACACATCACTTGGCCCGGGGGCTTCGGGGCTCTCGTCCCCTGTCTCCCCTCCGTCACCAGCCTAAACCGGCTGCCTGGTCCCCGCCCAGCTCCCACCGCACTCAGGCAGCGGCCTGTCCTCCACTAACACGTTTTTTCTTTTGAAGGTGTCCTATATACAAACTTTACCCTAATTTCATCTGGACATTTCTTTTTTCTTATTCTGTTTGTTGAACTTTTGATTTGGGGCGCAGACGTACTCTTACAGTGAGAAAGAACAGGGCTTTAACGATCAAAGATGGAGAAGCAGGTCCTCAGTGGGAGGGCCGCAGGCTCTCCCGACCTGCGGAGACCCTGCGCCCTCGCCCCTCCCAGCGGGGGGACGGGCGCCCGCGGCCTCCGGCACAGCTCAGGGGCGTCCTCGCTGCCGGGGCTTGCGCCCCGCGGCCACTCCCCCCCCTCGCCCCAGTGACTGTTTACGTGTGGGAGAAAAGACGCCGTCGCGTGCATGCATAAAGCAGCCAGAGAGGAAGTCCTAACCAATGCAGAGTGTCCGTAGCATTTCTGCACTGAAGTGTATCACACTCCTCCTGCTTCAGCTGTTGGACATGGAGAAACGTCGACCCTTCCACGCACGGTATGACCGACACAGCAACGCAGAGTCTTTCCAGTGGGAACGCGTTTGAAAACGCGGCTGGAGCAGCCCGCATCGCCCACGTAAGGTCACCGTGTTCGGCTGGGGCTCCATCGGAAGTCGGGGTCCGGCAGTGACGCTTGGCTGCTAACCCACCAGAGCTGCTTTCCACATCGGCCCTTACATCAGAATACATTTCAACCTAATTACAGGTCTTCCACTGGAACCAATTATTGCTTGGTGGTAATTAAGGGTCTTTCTAATAAGTTAAATGCAAATCCTGACCCAAGGCATCTGGAATCGGAAGAGAGGGCTGTTTGTTAGAAGGGCTAAATGCTCATTATGATAAGGCCTCTGGGACGGGGGCAGTGGCCAGGGTATGTCTCACACGAGACCCTGTCGGATCTGACACCGGCCACAGTGCGGGTGGCCCCAGTTAGCTGGGACGGGAGGCTCCTGTAAGGAGGGAGCTAAGGGCGCCTCTTGCCCTTCCCGGGCTCACGGAGCGTGATGCAGCCCGGGACTCTTCCTACCAAAACGCGCAGCCACGACCTGGATGAAACAGAGTGTAATTATTCCCCCTGACAGTCGTGTGAGCCCTAATGAGCGCCCCATCGATTGAGCAAAGAGTTTGCCCTTGGCAATTTCAATCAGGGGTGAAACCATCCCCTGTTCGTCTAATTTTCTCTGTGAAAGAGCCGCTCGCCTTTCGTAGCACCAAGGCTGAGGTTCACGAAGAC